TGTGTGTGTGAAGAGCTCTGTTTTGGGGGAACACCGTGTATTTCACTGGAAGTCATCTAATGTTTCGGAGGAATATGTCACCTCCATCTTCAGTAGTGGAAACTAGCATGAAGCAGGTAACACGAAGCCCTTGCATGCTAATCGTCTCTTGCTTTGCTTATTCATTGACTCTGAAGATGGATGTTATGTGTCCCTCTGAAACGTCGGCTGACTGTCAGTGGACCACATGGCAGTATATCCCAGAAGACAGAACTCTTCAGAACCACTGGAGAACCTCACATTCTACAGAGTATATCTGTTGCCGCAGTAACTACACGGTGCGATACATGCCGTTCCCGATCTATGACGTGGTTCCGTGCATGAAAATTTCATCAGAACGTACAGACGCTGTCATGAGGAAGATCCAGGATCTCCTTCACAGGAATGTGTCACCTAAGAAGTACAGTAATGGCCAAGCATTTAGGCTCCAGCAGGTAAGACTGGCTGTCCTGACCGAGGGTTTTAATCACTTTCCTCAGTCTCTCCAGATTCTAATATAGTGCCTGAAGTTAGGTCACAGTCTCTTCCTTCCCTGCCCTTTTCAATTCATTACTGACTGAACATCATACCATTGGTGCTACATATTGGTGTTTCCTGTTGGAGTGCCACATGTTGACCTCAAAGGCTGTAGAGGATTGTATTTGTGTTTCTCTTTTATTGGGGTGGCCACTTTTATACTGAGCTGAGGTGCATTTGTGATGACAGGGTTTTCTTCTGAGCTCCACGCAGCAGATGGTCGACAGACTGGTCGTACAGACGCAGGACACGATCCGCGTACTGGCAGCACAGGAGTCTGTTGACAGTAACAACGATATCAACCATGCTACAGGTCTTATCCAGGATGCAGATAATTCGAAACAGGTGAACAGATCTGGCATTGTGCAGTACTGACAGATTTCCCTTTGATATGAGACTGTGGTTCCTGGTCCAAAAATGGACCTTAACTCTGCCTGTCTTTTTTCCCTTCTTTCCTTTTATCCTCATATCTTTCCTTCTGCTTTCTTTTCCCTTCTGTTCTTTTATTCTCTTTTTCCTTTATTTTCTACTGTCTTTCCTTTTCTCCTACTGTTCTGATTTTCAGTGTTTTCCTTTATTTTTCTCCACTCTTTCCCTTCATTTCCTTCTTCTCCCTTCTAACCTTCTTGCTTTCTTACCACCATTTTATTTTTATCCTTCTTAGGCTTATTTATTCTTGTTTTCCTTTATTTTCTCTCTCATTCCATATTCCAAAGCACAGAGGTGACTGCTCACCTCATCTGATCTCTCAGTGAACTGTAACCCCACTCCTGTGATTCTGGGACTCCTCGCTTGTTTACCTTCATGATGCAGGGTGCGCACAATGGGGCACGGTGCGCACATGTCCAGCATGTCCCACAGGGCAGCACGTTGTTTTCATACAGGTTACATTTCTTGTTTGTAGCTTCTTCCAAGGTTGCATGAAGTGGTACAGAGGCGGGAAGAAGTGGGCAACCCCATCGACGTCAAGCTGAAACAAGTTGCGGACGAGTTGCATAATGTTGTGGTCAGCTACCTGCAGGTTCGTGTCCCTTATATTTGTTGTGCATATTACAGATACGTTCCATCATCATTCTGACGATTTCCGATTACTCATTAGAAGGAATATAAATTTTGGCAGTACTGATAATCCAGCAGTTAACTCAGTTGGCTCAGGTTGGCAGTCCTGCAAAGTAGACATTTCGCTGCAAGAGAAGCTCTGCTCTAGCATACTGACCATCACGTAACACACGGAACGTATGAAGTCTTGGCCGTTGTGTGTTGTGTAATGTGTATGCTTTTCCATCTTTGGCCCCTTTAGGGAGGGTGGGGGTCATGGGTGAACAGATGAGTGGGTCTGTCATGCCCTGGTAGACGCAATGCACTTGATCCTTAATGTGGCCCCATTGGGAAGAATCTCCTGTGGCCAGACCAGGTAATGAAGAGGCCACTGTGGGACCGTTCCCTACACCATGGACATCTGTGTAATGCACGTTCGACAGATGTGTGGGTTTTCTGTTTGCCATATCCTGAGATATTCTGTTCATTCACTTTTGCTGCCGATGTGGAACATGGCCGCATCGCTACAGCATAGCAGGCTGATTTGTTAAACATGCAACCTTTGTTTATTTTGTTGTACTCCAGGGCACGCTTGAGAGTATGATAAAGTGTGCAGAAGACCAGTGTCCCCATGTTTTAGCTGATGATCGAGTTCAAGGCGAGATCAAGAAGATGTGTCGAGAGAAGAACTTCCTTGCCCCTGAATTCATCCACACCTGTATAGTGGAGCAGACTGGTGCGGACATCATGAACAAAGTGAAGTTAGTATAGTGATAAAGCCAGTTTCTTTTGTTCCCACATGAATGTCATACAGTCTCATCATCACTGATTCTCAACCCAGACACTCGGTATCATTACTGAGGTTTTTGTTTATTTCTGCCAGTCCCTCGATGTCAGTGCATCCACAGCCACCTCCTGTCCCATTCTTACTAATTAATGATTCACTGATCAACTATAATTTTATTTTATATAATCTTACCTAAGCACTTTTAATCAAGGAACTTTCTAACTTGCCACTGCAACGAAACCAGCTCAACGTCCACTCAACTGCATATCCATAGATACCAGAGCATTTTCCTAGGGGGTGAAGTCATTAGAGTGTTAAGTGCTTTTGGAGAAAGTCTGAACGTATGAGTAACATTTTGAAAGAAGTTGCATCTATGAAGAAGAGTTCTGTCTTCTGAGATGTAACACTGTATAGTCCATCAAAAGTTAGCAGGTATTTTTGAACAACATGTTGCCTCCATCTTCAGGGTAAAAGAATAAGCCATGGAAGAAACCAGCATGGAGGAGATAGCAAGCAACAGACTACACGGCGTTATATCCCAGAAGACAGAACCCTTCATAATCACTGCTGTTAGAATGCAGATCCTACAAGTTATGTCTGTATTCACATGAGTAACATTTGATATTTTGGTGATTTTTGTGTTGTCAGTGAGCTTAACCTGGCGGTCGCTGCTCACGTATCCGATCGTATCACTGATGAAGTCATTGAGACTTTGTCACAGAGCTACAAGAAACTGGTAAGCTGTCCATAACATAAAGAATCCTACGTATAATTCAGATTTCTCAACAAAAAATTGATTTATTCATGTTTAAAATGACTTTTTAAGTTTTTTTTAGTTTCTTTGTTTTAGATAGCATAATGACCAAATTGCACTGTTGTCTAGACTTCTCTGTTGACACTCCAACCATAAGTGAATTATTTGTGCATCGTTACTTTTGTTGTCTTAATCCTTTAATGTACCGTGGTAGCGATATGTTAAGCACAATAGACCACTGTAGGTCGCGGTGCAAGGGCTGAGAAGGCCCACCCCTTATACATTCGTATATTCGTATGTAACATCTGCATTAATAAATGGAAAAGGTATATCTAGATATATTTAAGGTTCATTGGTAAATGCTGTTTTTGGTATTTACATACTAGTGAAAGACTCTTATATCTGTAAAAGTCACCACCATATTAGTGCTGCCAACCTTAGAAATTCATTTATAAAAACGACCCAAACCCAGACCATAGAATTTACCTCCAAGTCCACAAGATCAGGCTTTTGACTTTGTCTTTAAAATGTTTTTAAAATTTCAGAAAGGTTAGGTTTTGGCTTTGTTGTTGAAAATAAATATTGAAAAGCGTTCTGAGTTGAGAGTTCGAGTTTTGTTTTTAGAAATAAACTTCCACAGTTGGCAAGCTGACATGGTGATAATGTCTTAAAAGTTTCTTTTGCCACCTATTAATACATTGGTACCCTATTCCCAAATAGCTGAATCACAATTTGAGTCTCTCTTTATTGAATTACCACCAACCTAGGTTACAGTCACCTGGGATGCATTTACCATGTAATATTGTACATATCTGCACAACTTCACATGACAGAAGATTATAAACTTAATATTCTATGCTATGAGACTCTCGGATCACATCTGTTGACCCATAATTGCTCAGTACTGCTAGAGATATCTAATGGCTTTCTTTTGTTCTGTGTGTGTCCACTACTGATGGGGGACGTGAACAAGAAACGCTCATCTACTCCTGATGTTCTGCGATCAAGATCTCGTATGAGTTCAGATTCATCGAGGAACGATGCCAGTGAATGCTTTTCCATGGCCGACACCCTGAGCCAGCAGTCTGACCAGTCACCCATGGTAAGTAACCATCAGTATATACCAACGTCATCATCATCATCATCATCCCATCTGGCTGCTGAGACCTGTTTCAGATCATCATCATCATCATCAGTAATCTCTCAGACGACAGGTCCACAGTCTCTTCCAAAACAATTCCTCCACTTAATGCGATCTAGAGCTTTCTCTTAGAAATGACAGTATCCTCTTCTGTCCCCAAGGTCATCCAGCATCTTCTTACATCTTTTTCCTCGTCTTCTTGTCACTTCTATCCTCCCCTCTATCTTTCCTTCAATAACTTCTTTTAGAAGGCAGTTTCTGCGTAAAACATGACCAATCCAATTAGCCTTCTGTTTTCTTATTTCGTGTAGGATATTCCTCTGCTCACTGACTCTAATTAACACTTCTTCATTTCTCACATAATCGGTCCAACTGATCTTCTCAATCCTTCTCCAACACCACATTTCAAAACTTTCCAGATGTTTCTGATCTACTGCCCTAAGTGTCCATGTTTCAGCCCCATACAGAGCTATGCT